TTGAAGGGCAACCGAAGTTTGCTACCCATCGTTCGACGAAGGCGCGGGCCACTGTTGCAGCATTGATGTCCTTGATAGGTACTGCTTCTGGCCATCGAGCGAAACGGTCTTCGCAGGTTAAGAGATAAGAGTATCCATTTGAATCTGGTAAAGGTCCTACCAAATCCAGATGAACATGGTCGAAACGAGCATCGGGAGTTTTAAACGAGCCTAGGGGACATTTATTGTGTCTGACAACCTTAGATTTTTGGCAGCTTACACAGGAGCGTGCCCACTCCTTCACATCTTTATTCATGCCGGGCCAGCAAAACCGTTCTGCTATAAGCTTGATGGTTGCACGAACACCTGGATGAGAAAGTTTGTGCAATGTATTGAAGACAATTCGTCGATAATGTTGCGGCACGATTACGCGATCCTTACTTGTAGATGTGTCACAAAGTAAGGTTTCCTAACCTGTTCCCACCTGTTTGATGCGTAGCTTGAGTGTCGTAGACGATAACTCGTGCTGAAGATCAGTGTCTTCTTTTTGAAGCTGAGTGAGTTTAAGAAGGTCGATTTTTTGGAAACTGTTCAAGGAAGTTATGTGAGATAAAGCGTTTTCAACTCCATTGTTTGCTCCAGAGATGTGTTGAATATCTGAAGTAAACTGCGAAATGTAGTCCAGTCGTCGAGACTCATGAGGTGAGTACTCGTCTGAAGAGGAGCTTAAAGAGAAAGTAAGAGGTTTATGGCCAGTGTAAAGAGTGAATTCACGACCTTCAATATAATGTTCAAAATGTCGTACAGCACAATACATAGCTAGGAGTTCCCTACCGAATGTGCTGTACCTCGATTTGGTGTCTAGCAACCTTCTAGAGAAAAATGCCAAGGGTTGCCAGGAGTTGTTAACCCATTGTTTTAAGACTCCTCCGATTGCCGAGTCGGATGCGTCTACTGCGATGCTAATGGGTGCTCGGGTGTCCTGCTGTGCAAGCATTGTTGCTTTAGCAATCAGTTCCTTAATTGTGGAGAATGCTCTTCGTGCGGTGTCGTCCAAATTAATGGATTTCGCATTTCCACGAAGTTGATCGTTAAGAGGCTTCATAAGTAATGCACATTTCGGTATGAAACGTCTATAGAAACTTACCAGGCCGTTAAACGTGCGTAATTGCTTGACGGTGGTCGGTTCTGGGTAATCCAGAGTGGCCGCCACTTTGGTTTTAAGGGGTCGGATACCTTGAGCATCGATAGTGTGTCCCAGAAAGTCTAATGAGTCGGTTCCGAATTGGCATTTCTGAATGTTTACAGTAATGCCATGTTTTTGTAATCGTTCGAAAACAAGATCCAGATGCTTGAGATGTGTTTCTCTGTCTGGACTTGCGATTAGACAGTCGTCAACATACGCGTGTACGAAGTTGAGACCTCGAAAAACGTCGTCTATGAATCTTTAGAATGTTTGAGCAGCATTTCTTAGACCGAAAGGCATTCGCAAAAATTCATAGAGTCCGAAGGGAGTTATGATAGCTGTTTTCGGTATGTCGTCAGTAGCCATAGGGATTTGGTTATACGCTTTAACCAAGTCGATTTTCGAAAAGACAGTTGTACCTTTCAAGGTAGCTGTCAAATCGTGAATGTGAGGCAACGGGTAACGATCGGGAATTGTTTTCGCGTTCAATCGCCGATAGTCACCAGTTGGACGCCAATCGTTGCTGTCCTTTTTAGGGACCATGTGCAACGGAGATGCATATGGGCTACTTGACGGTCGTATGATTCCTAAGTCCATCATGTGATCGAATTCGTTTTTCGCTAACCTTAGCTTTTCAGGAGCTAGTCGTCGTGCTTTAGAGAATACAGGTGGTCCTGTAGTCGTGATGTGATGTGTAACATTGCTGGTCACACACGGTAGTTTCGGTTGAGTTTGTTGTATCCCAGGGTACTTATCGAGTAGTGGTTGATAGAGTGGGTCTATCATATGTTTAACTGTGACTGGGGATACTCTACAACCAGTAAAGGAAGTTACGCAAACGGACAAATTAGTGTTTCCGTCTACTAGCCTCCGTTTGCGAGTGTCGATGATCAGATTGTGGTGTTGTAGAAGGTCCATACCAATGATTGGCATAGAAACATCTGCAACAACGAAGATCCAGTGAATGGGTTTGCGTAAACCCACGTTAAGGTAAACGTACCTTTTGCCATACGTAGCGATCGGTTTTCCGTTTGCCGCCTGTAAGTTTAGGGTCGATTCGTGAAGTCGGTCGTTAGGATTTGCTGGGAGAACGCTAACTTCTGCGCCAGTGTCGACGAGGTAGCGAACTCTCGTTGTCACATCTGTGACGAATAACAGACGGCTTTGTTCGCCGGCTATGGTTGCCGTTAACGCGTGCCGGCTTGGAAGTTTCCCGAATTGCTTTTCGAATCAGTCGGTTTCGTGTTGGGAAAATTGCAGGGTTTTCTGCAATTTCTGGAAAGCTGTCCATACTGGTTATGATACCAGCACCAGTCGGGGTTATCTGTCTCTCGTGGTCTAGAGACAGATCGCTCACGAGAAATGCTTCTACGTGGTGTGCGCGACCTCTTACGGTCGGTACGAAGACTAAGATAACGCGTGAGTGTGTGACACAAGTCGTTTATATCATTCTGAGTCGTTTGAGGCTTTTCTTTGACTGAAAATACCTCGGTAGTAGATTTCGTAATTTCTAAAATGCGGTCGGCAGATGCAGCTAGCTCGTCTAAGGCGTTGTTCTGGAACGAGACCAGAACTGCTCGCACCTGTTGAGGAAGTTTTGACAAGAAGAGTTGTTTGAATAGACATTCGTCGAAAGTTCTTGGGCCTATTACCTCTCTCATCCGTTGCAACATGTCCGTCGCAGAACCGTGTTGCAGGTCGATATTGTTGAAGAGTTGATCTAACCTTTGTCGATCGGTTAGGTCTCCTCGTTTAAGAATCGAGCGTTTTAAGATTTCGTAAGGATCGGAAACATCACTAGTAAACATACTAGGTGTTACGTACCTGTTGAATTGGCGCGGTAGTGCCTTGACTACTGCGAGGAATTGTGCACGTGTGTCGATCACGCCGTGCTCGGAGAAGTCGGCTTCTGCGTAGCAAAACCAGGCTTCGATGTTGTCGGGCCAGAAAGGCATCAGTTGAAACGAAGGCGGGGACAAAGTCTTAAGCTTGAGTACTTTAGGTGTCTGTTCAGTCATGATGAAGTATGAAGTACGATAATGAACAAGGGGAAAAAATATATATATCCAAGAAAAAACACGAAAAAAAAAATCACAATGTTCAAAAAAATGAAAACAATAAGGCAATGATATATAAAAATCCCAAAAAGGAACAGACTCAAAGTTGCAATTAGGTGTACCAGATCACGTCAGTCTCACCAATGATGATGTCACAGGTATTCAGTGTTTGACAACGTTTCTACCAGTAACACCTTCTAATGTACTTCGTTCCCACCCAGAGAAATCAAAAGACAGAGTCGAGGAGATCGGAAGAGTATATTTAGCGATGACCAGTATATCGGAATTCTGTGATCTAATCTGGCTAGCGATTGCGGTTGATGTTGAGCACGGCTTTACCACACGTGATCTGGTGCGGATGCCTGACCGAGCGCCTTCAGCTAGATGAGTCCACTAAAACATATGGTCAGCATCCAATGTCGAAAACTTACAGAGCTATTTATTTTGGGGATTTATTTACCGCTACACCAGAAAACATCGCTGATTCGAAATAAGCTTCACACCAACATATAGAACATTACACTAACTGCGGCATTTTAGCACACTGAGACATTAAATTACATAGCTACACAAAAGAAATAACTGAAAGAAGCACAAAACGAAGAAAGCCGACCGCCATTGCTTACAAAGATGGCGCATGCAATAATTCCCGCCTCATTCTGATTGGTTGCTAAGCTGAAGGGACATTTACGAAGTTGAGTTGCGTTTAATTACAGCCCGATGAATAACATTTAGCTATCTATTGTCCAGGCCCGTAAGGACTTAGTAGTCACCGTCAGCTAAGACTTAAAAACCATTGCACACTGCCGTGCAATAGCCTCCAAAGGTTTGAGAACCCTATGTTTAATACATAAGGCTTTTGGTCATGTCGACACTAAAACTTTCTTGACTTTGTACATAATATTCGTGCGAACTAAACCCGAGTACTGCATACAGGCGGCCAGCCTCTGCTTAACAAAAGACAGTGAGCTTTTGGTCAAGGTTCAGAGAATAGGGAAGCTCCTGTATGATTCTCGACTAGCCAAACTAAACCTATGAAGATGCCACAAGTATTTGTAGTTTGACAGCACTTTGACCATTAACACCTCCTATAATTGAATCATGCTTATCCAGCCACGTTAAAAGTCATAAGCTAGGAGGTTCGAAGATATATTTAATAGGTTGTCAATAAATCGAGAAATGACCGATTTAAACTGGCTGGCGGTTGCAGGAGAAGTTAAGCACGGCGTTCCCACTCATCATCTGGTGCGGATGCGTGACCAAACACCTTCAGCTAGGTGAGTCCATTAAAACTAATGTGATCAGCACAGAATATTGAAGACTTAGTGAGTTATTGATTTTGGGGATTTATTTATCGTTACACCTATTCCCACTATCATACCAAAGAACTAGAGGCGACTTGATTACAGTTTTCAGATTACTTGGTGATACATTTGCACCTGGTATTCTCCCACCTTCATTGTCTTCTAAAACAGGAAATTTGCGAGGGCACTCCAAAAAGGTTGACAAGCCCAGAACAAATTACTTGTCAGTGGAATTCAATGCCTCAACACGTGGTTGGAGCTCCATCTGTCACTTCTTTCGATAGAAAGTTGGGTCAACTAAGAGATCATCACTGCCAAGACTAACACAGGCCACTTAGCTTCCTGTTCTTTCCAAACCGAAACTGAATCTGATTTCGGATTTGATGGACTTAGTGAAATGGGATATATATTCCGATTGGTTAACTCTGGGAAACACTGAATTTACAAAGAAATCTACTTTAAATAAAGGTTCAACACGGATAATCGACATACTATCTTTCAAGAAAAATGGGATGCCTGACAAGTGAATAATTTTGCGTTACACTACTGACCTTCATCGTATCCAACGCCTCCTGTAAAAGCTATAGTGACATGTATATTCAATGATTTTTGTAACGACAGTAATAGCTGTCGTTTGAAGTGACGTGTTCTTGGCTGGCTTCGTAGATTCCCTCATAATATATGAAATAACCGTGAAAATAAAGGGGAATTTCCATATAAACTTAAAATATCCTCAACACTAAACTGCAAATATTCGTATAATAAATGAAGAAGTCAAAAACGTCAAACGTTATTTCGACCATATCTCAGAAACAACTGAAGGACATTCAAGGATATTTCTCACGTATGTGGTGTATATGTTTGAGTGTCATGGTTAGGCCAAAATGGAATTAGACAGGGAATACATGAAAATGGGACTGCCTTCGGATCAGTAAGACTAAACTTGGACTAAAACAGTTCTTGTACTTAGTTGGCGTTAAAGTCAAAGCCCTCAGATAATGAAGCCATTATAGATTCCGTCTTAAGGGATGTCATCGACTTGAACCGTGATAAGCTTCCGGAATCATCCTTGGTAAAAGTTCTCACTTCAGTATATCTAGACGCTAAATCAAAGCTTGGAGCCAATGGTAAGATTATGCTCCCTCCCTCACTATTTTCTAGTGTCACAGGATACAACACAGCAGGTATGTAAATACTTTTCTCTCATTTCAAGAGCTTGGTTTGCATCTCCCAGAATGCTCCTAAAAGTCCTTTAGATTCGAAGATGCCCGATCCAAACAGCAAACTAAGCCAATGCGCCATGTCAGTCTCAGAAAAAAACAAACATCAGTGGAGTGAAGATGAAGGTAAGTAGTGTTTATCGATAATAAGGTCCCAAATATGTATCAGATTAGTGTTTAATCATACTACTGTTTTATTCATAGCTAACTTGTCAACTCAAATCACTCACAAAATATGGGATAAACAACCTGGTTGCTTGGATACACCTAATTTTCGGAAACTAGAAGCTTTAAATGTTGTTTCGGATACTAAAGTCGATTTCCCAACCGGTAAACCTAATCCCGAGTCCACAGAAAAACTGTCTAATTCGAACACAATTAGCGACAATCGGATAGATAATATTCCTGCTCTTACTCCTATGGCTTTTGGTTCTGGACAAGATGCTCATTTGTCAAAACAAGTATGCAACCTTTTCTTTATAGATTACTTAAGACTGTAAAAATATATTTCATTTGCTATCACTCTCTAGGTATTATTTTTGACTGATTTATAAATACCTAGGAGGTAACATTGTTTTCATGTGTGCTTATTATTAGCTTACTGACCTACCTTTAAGCTTTATGTTATGAAATACCAATTTATACCGTTTCGTAAACCTCACCTGTGACTGATTTATCCAGTACAGATTCACGTACTTGACTTTGAGATATTCATGTTTCGAAGGGTAATAATACCTATACGCTCGACTCGAAGTATATGACTTGCGACTTGAACCTGTAATCTGTTGATTGAGTTTGAATGAGTTAGTCATAAAAATACACTTTCCCTCACTAGTTTCACAGCAGTACACAAATTTCATGGAGTCACATAGAATTTCACATCTTTTTCCCCATACCCTGACGCTTTTCTGCGCTTCTGATCGTGTTAGCATCACATTTTTCATCAGATAGGAACGAGTTATAACACAGACAGACAGATTACCAGCAAGAAATGAAGTTGGAGATTATGGGATTCTAACACTGTTTTCAATACGCTCGTCTAACCGTTTGTTTCCTGCAAGTCCGACGGTAGATGTAGAAAGCTACACTGTCTGGTTCTCTGTTATCAAACCAATTGTGGGTACAAAGGTAAAACTTCCATCTACCACTTTCTAGGGCTGATTGAAAACTGTCATTTTTTCCAAGCACATGTTTAAACTTGAGTTATGTTTTCTTGCAGTGTTGTTTGTTTGTGTCTTACTGCATGAGAAAAAATCACAACGAAATGTCCTAATCGATTTCAGCTCAAGGTTGAACATATATTAAAAAATGTATTTAAAAGAGGATTTGATGTAATTAGTGGAACCGTTTAAGGAGTTTCAAAAGCAAATAAATTGTTTCCAGTCTCTTAGGATATATTTTCATATTTTATTTGAGAAGTCAACTTATGTTTCAGGAAGAAAATCGTCGGCAGTGGAAGGCTGCATTAGATGAACAACTGAAAGAGCAACAACTTATGCGAGGCAAAAATCTTCAGGAACTGCAAAAGGAGTGCGAATTCAATAAAATTCAGTCAGGATCTTCTTCAAATAACTGCGGACATTGTGACAACTCAAATGAATTTCATGGATTAAGTATATCGAAGTGAGTCTTTTAAAATACGTTTGCTTGTATTAGCTGGATATTGGAAGAATGGACTTTTCTCGAATACACACAGGGTATTTACGAAAAGTAATATATTCACAATGTTATCCTCCATTCACACTATGATTTTACTGTGCTTCAAAACAATTTCCTGTTTTATCTTTTCAGTATTACACAAGCACGTCTATTTCTATTTTAAAAATTTGTTTGAAATAGCAATCCATCTAACAGCGCATTGGCATCACATCCTTCGGCTAGTCATTTTATGTCGTCAGGTTTCTTTTTACCTGATTCAACTGTTACCAACGATTTCCATGCATCATCTAGAAAAATGGATACTCCTAACCAACCCTGGAAGGTTGGTTTTAATCGTGTTCGAGGTTTTACTCAACAACTGTATATAGATTCCTTGGAATCCGCTGAACGTGCACGACTCGCTCACGAAACTAGAGTAAGTTTTAAATTAGATATATTAAGTCCTTTACCTCTGTCCGTAATAATTGTCATTATAATGTAAGCTTTCTGTAGATAACTTCGAGTGGAGTCCCTCCAAGGGCTACTGCCGGTTCCAAGCCCGGATAAAGGAGGAGGGTTGGGCATGGGGTTAGCGTCCCCATCCCGTAGAAAACTAACTCGCCAAAAAAAGCTAACCAGAAAAAATTATTCAAACCTTTTAAACTCTGCCCTGGGAGTCAGAAGGTCTTCATTTAGAAGAACTATGACGCCTCATGATGAAAGCCGAATTCCTTCGGCAGTTACGAGGCCGATGCCCCTTCTGACAACCAGAGCGACCATTTATTTAGATACATGGAATGTTCGTACAATGTGGGACACCGAGAGAGCCTTCCAAATTGCTGCAGAAATGAGAAGATACAACCTAGAGGTACTTGGGATCAGTGAAACACATTGGACACAAGTTGGACAACAACGACTAACTACAGGAGAGCTCCTGTTATACTCCGGCCATGAAGAAAATGCACCACATACACAAGGAGTTGCATTGATGCTGTTCAAACAAGCGCAAAATGCGCTTATATTATGGGAATCTCATGGACCAAGGATCATCAAAGCCTTGTTCAAAACAAAGAAAGAGGGCATTTCAATGAACATCATCCAATGCTATGCGCCTACCAACGACTACAATGAAGACGCTAAAGATCAATTCTACAATAGGCTGCAGTCAATCGTCGAGAAGTGCCCAACAAAGGACTTGACCATTCTGATGGGAGATTTCAACGCCAAGGTTGGAACGGACAACACTGGATATGAAGACATCATGGGACGTCACAGACTGGGAGAAAGGAACGAAAATGGTGAGAGATTTGCAAATCTATGTGCCTTCAATAAGCTGGTCATAGGTGACACTATATTCTCACATAAACGCATACACAAAACCACATGGACTTCACCAGATCACTCTATACAAAACCAAATCGACCATATTTGCATCAACAAAACGTTCAGGAGGACTATAGAGGACGTGAGAACCAAGAGAGGAGCTGATATAGCATCAGATCATCACTTGCTGGTCGCCAAGATGAAATTGAAACTCAAGAAGCACTGGACAACGGGGCGGACAATATCACAAAAGTTCAATACGGCCTTTCTTCAGGATACTAACAAACTCAACAAATTCAAGATAGTCCTCAGCAACAAGTTCCAGGCCTTTCGTGATCTACTCAATGGAGAAGGAACTACTGTGGAGAGCAACTGGAAGGGGATCAAAGAGGCAATCACTTCAACATGTCATGAGGTCCTGGGTCACAAGAAGCACCATCACAAGGAATGGATCACTGTTGATACACTGGATAAGATTCAAGAAAGGAGGAACAAGAAGGCAGCAATCAATACCAGCCGAACAAGAGCAGAAAAAGCCAAGGCACAAGCTGAATACACAGAAGTAAACAAACAAGTGAAGAGGAGCATCAGAACCGACAAACGTAAATATGTGGAAGATTTAGCAACGATGGCGGAAAAGGCTGCAAGAGAAGGGAACATGAGACAATTGTATGACACGACAAAGAAACTCTCTGGAAATCGCCGCAAACCAGAACGACCAGTGAAAAGCAAGGAAGGCGAGGTAATCACCAACATTGAAGAGCACAAAACAGGTGGGTAGAACACTTCAAAGAACTCTTGAATCGACCAGCTCCACTGAACCCACCCAACATCGAAGCAGCACCCACGGACCTCCCAATCAATGTTGGCCCACCAACAATTGAAGAAATCAGCATGGCCATCAGACAAATCAAGAGTGGCAAAGCAGCAGGACCGGACAACATCCCAGCAGAGGCACTAAAGGCAGACGTAGCGGCAACTGCAAGGATACTCCACATTCTCTTCAATAAGATTTGGGATGAGGAACAAGTACCAAAAGACTGGAAAGAAGGACTTCTGATCAAAATACCGAAGAAAGGCGATCTCAGCAAGTGTGATAACTACAGGGGCATCACTCTTCTCTCAATACCGGAAAAAGTCTTCAACAGGGTATTGTTAAACAGGATGAAGGACTGCGTAGACGCCCAACTTCGTGACCAACAGGCAGGATTCTGTAAGGATAGATCGTGTACAGACCAAATCGCAACTCTACGGATCATTGTGGAACAATCAATTGAATGGAATTCATCACTCTACATCAACTTCATTGACTATGAAAAGGCATTTGATAGCGTGGACAGAACAACACTATGGGAACTTCTTCGACACTACGGCGTGCCTCAGAAGATAGTCAATATCATACAGAGTTCATATGATGGATTACACTGCAAAATTGTGCATGGAGGACAGTTGACAAAGTCGTTCGAAGTGAAGACCGGTGTTAGGCAAGGTTGCTTACTCTCACCCTTTCTCTTTCTCCTGGTGATCGACTGGATCATGAAGACGTCAACGTCTGAAGGGAAGCACGGGATTCAATGGACATCTAGGATGCAGTTGGACGATCTAGACTTCGCAGATGATCTGGCCCTTCTATCCCAAACGCAACAACAAATGCAGGAGAAGACGAACAGTGTGGCAGCAGCCTCAGCAGCAGTAGGTCTCAATATACACAAAGGGAAAAGCAAGGTTCTCCGAAACAACACGGCATGCACCAATCCAATCAAAATTGCCGGAGAAGATTTGGAAGATGTAAAAACCTTTACATATCTGTGCAGTATCATTGATGAACATGGTGGATCTGATGCAGATGTGAAGGCGCGGGTCGGCAAAGCAAGAGCAGCATATTTACAACTGAGGAACATCTGGAACTCAAAGCAACTGTCAACCAACGCCAAGGTCAGGATTTTCAATACAAATGTCAAGACAGTTCTACTGTATGGGGCAAAAACCTGGAGAACTACGAAATCCATCATCCAGAAAATACAGTTGTTTATTAACAATTGTCTACGCAAAATACTTCAGATCCATTGGCCGGACACTATTAGCAACAACGTACTGTGGGAGAGAACAAACCAGATCCCAACGGAGGAAGAAATCAGGAAGAAGCGGTGGAAGTGGATAGGACACACATTGAGGAAAGCACCCAACTGCGTCACAAGACAAGCCCTCACTTGGAATTCTCAAGGCCAAAGGAAAAGAGGAAGACCAAAGAACACATTACGCCGAGAAATGGAAATAGACTTGAGAAAAATGAACAAGAATTGGATGGAACTAGAAAAGAAGGCCCAGGACAGAGTGGGTTGGAGAATGCTGGTCAGCGGCCTATGCTCCATTGGGAGTGACAGGCGTAAGTAAGTAAGTTTCTGTAGATATTTTAAAAGACTGATGAAAAAGGCATTTTCAAAACTTACTTGGATCCAGATAAAATATTAGGAAAAAAATGTTATACTTGAAGTGTGTTTGTATGAATGTTTGTAATACTACTCAGCTAGACCGAAGTAGTTAAAGCACGGTTTAAACTTATGACCTACTGGTCGTAAACAGAATGCTTCAATCGCTAAAGGACCATTTAAACTTCTAAATTTTTACAAGATTGTATATCTATTTGTGTTACGCTCCATATCTAGCAGTAGTACTATCACGTCAATGTAATGATATCGGTGATCAAACATTAACAATCTTTTGGTCTTTAATTTTGTTCTTTCCATCTGATTGTTCTCCGATGAACGATTCGTTTTTTGATTTTGGTTTTGCTGTTTGTGTCTTGCAAGCACTGCATACACCCGGAATCTAGTCGAACTCACAAAACACACAACCTTTCAATAATCTCTGAAAAACCAAAAGCTAGGTACAATCACTAACCATTTGTTTTCGTTGATCATCTAACTTTATTTACTCAAACATGACGTCAGATACTATTAATATAGATTTTAAATAGTTTTTTATATCATCAGTAATGTTCATCATAAAATGTGTGGTAAACAGATTGGATTTATGCCCGAGAGTCTTGTTAACAAAGTTATGAATTTCAGTGAATCATAACCACTGAATTTGTTATGACTGAAACGAAATAATCTTCAAAATTACTATTCTCCTCTCATAGTTTCTAAATAATTGTACTCGCAACTTGATTATCTCATTCTCCTCACCAGTATTTTTCAAAACTAGGTGACTAGAAGTAATCCAAAACAGGTAAAAGCGCAATAATGTATTTAGCATTATAAACGGGTTATATTTTTATTTACATTTTTAGACAAAAAATAGGTTTCTGGCTTATGAATGGACTACTGGGTTAACAAGCTCTTGGGAATCGTTGAAAAATAAGGTTAAATGGGAAGCGTCACACTTAAAATAAAGTCGTGAATTACCAATCACAAAACGTTTTTGGGAATACATACATTATTATTAGAGAAAGCTTAAGTCGGAATATAATACTATTCATTAATAAAAAATTTCAAACTAAGTATGGAAGTAAGATTTTCTGGGGTTTCTTACTTATACCATCCAGATCGGGAGCTAATTGTCGCACAACAGTAGATAAATATAAAACTTCCAAATCATTTTTTATAGTCAATGATCTTGTTTCTGACTGACTGAATGTTAACGTACCAGAAATCCTTCCTGCTATGTATTTAGCGATAGCCAATTCAACAGTCCATAACTTTTGTGTGTCTATTTAGTCTTTTATGAGTGTTGATTATACTTTCGTCTTAGATGATCGTAAAGATTATCTTTAAAACTCTATCCCTTTACCTTTAAGGCTTATAAATGTTTCTATTTCAAGACTATCAGTTTTGTGCGTGGTGTTTATGTGGTTATCTGGATGCTAATTAGTAACTGGGTCTAAATAAATAATAATAATAAACGAACATTCCATGTATCTAAATAAATGGTCACTCTGGTTGTCAGAAGGGGCATCGGCCTCGTAACTGCCGAAGGAATTCGGCTTTCATCATGAGGCGTCATAGTTCTTCTAAATGAAGACCTTCTGACTCCCAGGGCAGAGTTTAAAAGGTTTGAATAATTTTTTCTGGTTAGCTTTTTTTGGCGAGTTAGTTTTCTACGGGATGGGGACGCTAACCCCATGCCCAACCCTCCTCCTTTATCCGGGCTTGGAACCGGCAGTAGCCCTTGGAGGGACTCCAGGCGAAGTTAGTAACTGGGTCTACCAACAGATTATCATTCTATAATGTAGTTACGAATCCATTCGCTGTCTACGGTTTTATTTATTCTAAGTACAACTTATTTTAGTTGTTTGTGAAACCTAATATGATTATAAGCAAAGGAATAATTGTAGTACATCATAAACAAGTGTACAGTCAGTTTGCACCTGCTATTTGATAAGTCAATATGAAGAGTTCTTGTGAATAGTAAATTATAGTGGATTGAAAAGGTAATGATGAGTACACTGGATCATTAAGTCATCATCATTTAGCTTAGGAAAAAATGTATATCATAGTACATTTGTGGTATGCACAGGTGAGTTTTGGAACATACTTTCTACTATTTTATCGTTTTTGTATTTAATTACTGTCACATGAAAATTTTTCGATTGACGTTATGCTAATATTTTACATACTAAGTCAAAAATTTACAACTAACTAAAGGGAAATTAATTAATAAGTAAACATCCGACATAATCCTCCACTCTTAGCTTATGGGCTTTTTTAGTGAAGCCCAGATGCTATCATAAATTTAATCCGAATGTGTTAGACAAATAAAATGTTGAGCATACATTCTGTTATTTTAAATCTATTATTTGGATCTGCCTGTGCTCTAGCAAGCACCATCTTAGGCTCCAAAAATTTATCTTCAAAGTTATTACGTCAAAAAGCTCATTGTTATGTCATAAATATTGATCTGTGTTTTAGTGATGACAAGTCTCAGTTAAAACAAAGTGTACAATCTGAACTTTGTTGGTTTTTATGAACTAGCAAACTGTTAATACATTATTTCAGGGTGTTTTGAACATTGTTGAACCTAAAGTTTTACATTGTAAGATACATTATTTGACAATTAATGCTATTGGTTTATACTCATCAAATAAAGACATCAGTATTAAAAGTGGATTCGTGGGATATTTTTATGCTAATTGTTGTTTTGTAGTTATTTTCCTGAGGAATCATTCATCCATCAGCATATACACTTTTAGAGTAATCTCACATGTTTTTTTGTAATAAAAGGCTGACTGTATAAGTTGGTTTCATTATCTTCACAAACTTGTCCAATAATAATTTCCAAGTTTAATCATATGTATTGGAGATTGGAAGTATGACCATCTCATACTAGTCATTTTGTTCAAAAACTTTCCATCTGGAATCGAAATTCCTGTTAAAATAATCTCTGTGATTGATTTTTGTAGTTACTATAGCTGGTTTTCATTCTATTAAACTATTGTCTTTAACTAAAGTAAATTATATAGTTCTATGGTATGCCTCATTTCCTTTGCTCATCAACACCGATATCTTATTAGGCTATCAACATCAAACATTTGGAAAATAGATTAGAAATACTCGTTAGAAATTTTATGATTTGTTTATTGTCTATGTTTTAGTTGATAAATTTGAAACAAATCGAAGAAAAACGTCGTCTAAAAGAAGAAGAGAAAGCAAGACTCCTTATGGAAGAGAAAATGGAAGAAGAGCGTATCTCACGTGAACGTCTTCGATTACAACAAATGGCCGAGGTTGAAAATGCTCGAAAGATAGCAAAAGATGTATGAGTATTAGTTTTAATATTAAATATTTTTATCATCCAATGTTATTCAAATACATTTTACTTAAGTTCCTACGAATTTTATCTTTCACGTACTCTTACTTGCGTTTTCTACGTGTTGATTTCCTGGAGGTTAGTACACCGTTGAAATTATTTTTTAGATACGTTTATGGTTACAGATATGAGCTATACCACTTGAATTGGTTGTTTCAACATATTACTGTTAGAAGAATAATTATCATTATGAAATTTCACCTATTGGTAATGTTACTTTCAATGCTGTTACTTGCGACATCGGCAAATCAGTCGGGTTCCTGTTTATCTCTACAAATAAAATGTTTTGCTGCTAAACTAACTCTAGTTAGAATGAATTTTTATAATACGAAAATAAATGATTTGCCATTTTAGTAAAATACGATAATACTCTGACAATAGACTGGCTAATTGACCTCAGTAGGAGATTTCAGTTGTTATAGGATTAGATCGGAGGAAAGTTTGAGGAGGCCTAACCAATTTATGGAATAAGTCATTGAAATCATTGACTTGGTCTAAGTCACGTTGGTAGATTCGGACTACCTCGTTAGTGTTTTTGCAATAACCGTGATATCTTCGATCAGTAGCATGGAACTTTTTATGATATGGCTCATCGTCGAACAATCAGTTGAGTGGAACTCATCACTATACATCAACTTCATTGCTTATGAAAGGCATTTGACAGTGTAGATGGGAGGACTTTATGGAAACTTCTTCGACACTACGGAGTTCCTGAAAAGATTGTCAATATTAACCGGAATTCATACGACGGACTACAGTGCAAGGTCGTGCATGGAGGACTGCTGACATACGCATTCCAAGTAAGGACCGGAGTCAGACAAGGCTGTTTACTCTCTCTCTTCCTCTTTCTTCTGGTGGTCCACTGGATTATGAAGACCTCGACATATGAGGGAAAACACGGCATACAATGGACAGCTCAGAATCAATTAGACGATTTGGACTTCGTAGATGACCTAGAACACCTATCCCATACACATGAACAAATGCAGATAAAGACAGCCAGTGTAGCAGCAGTCTCTGCATCAGTAGGCCTCAGCATACACAAAGGGAAAACTAAGGTCCTCAAATTCAAAGCGGAGAACAGCAATCCAATCACTCTTGATGGCGAAACTCTGGAAGATGTAGAGTCCTTCATATACCTGGGAAGCATCATCGATGAACAAGGAGGATCCGATGCAGACGTAAAAGCGAGGATCGGCAAAGCAAGGGCCGCTTTCCTACAATTGAAGAACATATGGAACTCAAAACAACTTTCAACAAATATCAAAGTAAGAATCTTCAATACGAACGTCAAGGCAGTTCTACTGTATGGAGCTGAAACTTGGAGAACTACAACAACCACAATCAAGAAGGTACAAGTATTTATAAATAACTGTCTACGCAAGATACTCAACATCCATTGGCCGGATACCATCAGCAATAGCCTTCTGTGGGAGAGAACAAACCAACTTCCAGCTGAAGAAGAAATTAGGAAAAGACGATGGAAATGGATAGGACATACATTACGCAAATCGTCAAACTGCATCACGAGGCAAGCCCTAACTTGGAATCCTGAAGGGAAGCGGAAAAGAGGAAGGCCAAAGAACACATTGCGTCGGATAATAGAAGCAGATATGAAAAGGATGAATTACAACTGGACGGAGCTAGAAAGGATTGCCCAGGACAGGGTTGGATGGAGAATGCTGGTGAGCGGCCTATGCTCCTTCACGAGGAGTAACAGGCGTTAGTAAGTAAGTAAGTAAGTCATAATCGTTCACAATGTCTCAGATACGTCAGCTCTTTATCTATTGATTTTGAATCCCTCATATACACATTTCTACTTAGTCTTTTTTTATCGCCGTTGTTACTATATTGTTTTGATCTATTTTACTATACATCTTGTTGATTTCATATTGTGCTAATTTGTATAACAACTTGGGCTAATGCACATCTGTGACAGGCTCTACGTCGATGACGACACTAATTGATAAATTACTGTACGGGGTTACCCCGACCGTAGCTGCTACCTTGACGTGGTGGTCGGACTTGTCTATCGTGATGACCCAACCGAGCTATATTGGCTGGAACATATGTTCCTGCAGGTCCTACAATACCAGGGAGGCCAATTGGAGAACGTTAAAGCTGAAAGCAGTAACTCAAGGTCTGAGGGCAAAGTCGTACTGCTGACTTTAGAGGGGTGTGACGGCAATAAGGTGTTCCCCTCGAACAACCAGCATCTGCAGCGATGCTGCCTTCTCACAAAGAAGGAAGGGGTTGGAAAAGGTGGACCCTAAAAATGTCACACCTCACCTTACCTCACGGATTTCCGTTTCTGGCGGTAAGGCCCTTTGAAGAACGGAGCTAACTCGTTAAGAACTCCCCACAAAAATTCCGTGCGTGACTGGCCTCAATCAGTTGTCCCTTGGGCTCTGCGGTCACGCTCCCAGGTCGTTAAGACCAGCACTAATCCGACTTCCTTTTCAGGTTCCTCAAGAAATACCCTTCCACGGTGCGCGCAGTCGGGAATCGACATCAGCCCTCATACCTGTAACAGCACACGAGGCCAAGTCAGTCACATTCAAATCCCTCCTACACTTCCAAATACCTCTCTCATCTCCACGACTATCCCTTCTCACGCCTCTTTATCACCTCGCACCGCTAATGCAAACGATTCGAGTACGTGGAACGTTATTCCTGGTCTCCTGAAACCACGCTCTAAACTACACATAGGAGCTTTTAACGTCCGAACACTGTGCCAAATAAGACAACAGGTCTCCTTAGCCAGGACTTCAGAATCTCGCGCCATAGATGTGTGCTGTGTCTCCAAAACGCGCACACAGGATCCGAGTATCGTCATTCACTTGACCTCACCATATCAAAGTTAAGAACCATCTCGATTCACGCTTCGTGTATCTGGAAGCCCTGATGCTGCTTCCCGTGGCCTCGCTGGCGTAGGTATAGCATTGAGTCATAAGGCAGAACTAGCTCTCTTAGAGTGGATCCCAGTAGGCAGTCTTTTGTGCGCTATCCGACTAAACGGAACGGTACGGACTCGGAAAGATAGGGACATTCGTCATTGCCTCTTCGTCGTCTCTGCCCACTCTCCCACTGACTGCAGCTCAGATGGTGTAAAAGATGAGTTTCACAGAAAGCTTCCCGACCTCCAAAACGTTAGGCGCTCGGATGTACTAATAGTGGCTGATGACTAATGCTCAAGTAAGTAAACTAAGTAGAAAGGAAAGACACATGAGTGGATCGTATGGTATCGCGGCCCAAAGAACAAATAGTGGCGACCGTCTGTTGCAGCTATGCTCAGATGACCGCCTGTTCCTTGCAAATACTAACTTTAAGCATAAGGAAAAACATCTTTTGACATGGCGACCCCTTAATTTGTCCCAACGTTGGACCCAAATAGATCACATTGCTATCAGCCACTGATGGAGGGGCTCGATAGAAGACTGTCGCTCATTCTGGAGCATATGCTTATACTCAGATCATGCTCCAATGCGAGCACGTATTTGCTTGCGTCTTACTGGACGTAGGAAAGACGCTGCAAGTAAACCTCTTAGGGTCCTACTTAATGATAGTCAACTTACTTACTTACTTACGCCTGTTACTCCTCGTGAAGGAGCATGGACCACTCACCAGCATTCTCCATCAAACTCTGTCCTGGGCAATCTTTCCCAGCTCCTTCCAGTTGTTATTCATTCTTTTCATATCTGCTTCTATTTCCCGACGTAATGTGTTCTTTGGCCTTCCTCTTTTTCGCTTCCCTTCAGGATTCCAAGTCGTATGAGTTCCGAATAATTTTGACAATCTTCTCAGGAACTCCGTAGTATCGAAGGAGTTTCCATAACGTCCTCCCATCTACACTGTCAAATGCCTTTCATAAGCAATGAAGTTGATGTACAGTGACGAGTTCCACTCAATTGATTGTTCGACGATTATCCGTAATGTTGCAATTTGGTCTGTGCATGACCGATCCTTACGGAATCTAGCTTGTTGATCTCGAAGTTTGGCGTCTACTGCGTGTTTCATCCAGTTCAGCAACACTCTGTTAAAGACTTTCCCTGGTATTGACAGTAGCGTGATGCCTCTGTAGTTTTCACATTTGTTCAGACCTCCTTTCTTTGTAATCTTGATGAGGTGTTCTTATTTGTAGTCCATCGGCACTTGTTCCTCCTCCCAAATCTTTTTGAATAGAAGGTGAAGTATGTTTGTAGTTATTTCGATGTCTGACTTCAGTGCTTCAGCTGGTATATTGTCGGGTCCTGCTGCTTTCCCGCTCTTGATTTGTCTGATGGCCATTCTGTTTTCTTCCATCTAATGCTCTTCTCCACTTACTTGTTTGCTTCTAAGTACTCAGCTTGTGCTTGGAATTTCTCTGCTCGTGTTCGGCTGTTGTTAATAGCTGTCTTGTTCTTCCTTTCTTTGATTCTGTCCAGTGTTTCTATAGAGATCCATTCCTTATGATGATGCTTCTTGAGGCCCAGAACCTCTTGACACGTTGAAGTTAATGCTCTTTTGATAACTAGTATAGGGTTTGTAGAGATTATTAAGTTTTTGATTGAGATCATGAACCGATTGATGTTAGAACACCACCTTTGGAAACCTGGAAGCACTGGACTGCCGTTTCGTCCTATTGTGGGACTCCTCAGCAGTGCGCGTCCACGATTGGATGCCGGTTCTGTGGTCCAGCTGGTTAAGCGTTCGCGCGCGAGACCGGAGGCCCCGGGTTCGAATCCCGCGAGCGGAGTCGTGGATGCGCACTGCTGAGGAGTCCCACAATAGGACGAAACGGCCGTTCAGTGCTTCCAGGGTTCCAAAGGTGGTGTTCTAACATCAATCGGTTCATGATCTCAATAAAAAAAGCTTTTTTGGTACCTTTCCAGTTGTCCACCATAGTAGTTTCTTCTCCCTTCAGTAGATCTTGTAAGGCTTGGAACATGTTGTTGTGAGCTATCTTGAATTCATTGAGTTTGTTAGTATCTCGAAGGAAGGCAGTATTGAACCTTTGTAGTGCTGATTGTCCGGTTCTTCTTTACTTCATTTTTAAATTGGCTACAACTAGGTGGTGATCTGAAGCTATGTTAGCTCCTCTCCTGGTTCTCACATCTTCCATTGTCCTTCGGAATTTTTTATAAATGCAAATATGATCTATCTGGTTCTCTGTGGGGTGGTCCGTTGAGATCTATGTAGCTCTGTGTATACGTTTGTGTGGAAATATTGTGCCTCCTATGATCAATTTGTTGAATGCACACAGATTTGCAAATCTCCCTCCGTTTTCGTTTCTCTCTCCCAGTCAGTCCATGTCGTCCCACGATATCTTCATATCCGGTGTTGTCTATTCCGATTTTGGCGTTTAGATCTCCCATCAGAATGGTGAGGTCCTTTCTTGGGCACCTCTCTATGATTGACTGCAGCTGCTCGTAGAATTGATCTTAAATTTCGTCGTTGGTATCATTGGTGGGTGCATAACATTTGATAATATTCATTGTGATCCCCTACTTCTTTGTTTTGAATAATGCTTTGATGATTCTGGATCCGTGAGATTCCCATCCTACAAGTGCATTTCGTGCTACTTTGGACAACATTAGAGCAACTCTCTGAGTGTGTGGAGCATTTTCCTCTTCGTGGCCGGAGTATAGCAGTATCTCTCCCATATTTAGCCTTTGTTGTCAAGCTTGTGTCCAAGGGGTTTCGCTGATTCCCAGCACTGCCATGTTGTATCTCCACATTTCCGTTGCTATTTGACTGGTCTTCCCGGTCTCCACTTGTTGACTCAGAATATCCCGATGACATAGTTCTATTTGATGAAGACGCTGACAAAATGCAGTCTTCTGACCACTTAAAGCAACAATGCAAGTATGTTCGGTATGCGATTCTCCCCCTCGAAATGCAAAATGTTGCTTCAGGATTGGGTTGCATCGACACCCGAACTAATGATAGGGAGTGAAGTAGTTGAGCGTGTCGACCGCTCCACTTATCTTGGAAGTCTGATCAGCCTTTGTGGTCTGGTGTATGACGAAATCTCAGCACGGATACAGAAGGCTCGACTAGCTTTTGCCAACTTGCGTCATTTATGGCGTAGGCAAGATATCCGTCTATCAACCAAAGGATGTGTTTACTGCGCAGCAGTTCGTTCCGTCCTACTTTATGGCAGTGAAACGTGGCCGGTAAGAGTAGAGGATATTCGTAGGTTACTAGTATTCGATCATAGGTGTCTTCGAAACATTGCTCGTATATCGTGGGACGATTGAGTAAGTAACGGAGTTGTTAGGAAACGGGTACTAGGTAAGGATGGCAAATCGATTGATGACGTAGTGAAACTTGATCAGTTGAGATGGCTGTGACACATGTTACGTATGCCCAACCACCGGCTGCCTCGACGTGCGATGTTTTATGATGTGGGAGTAGGTTGGAAGAAAGTTAGGGGCGGCCAGACCAAAACATGGTACAAGTCTATGAAGTCACTGACAAGTAAACTGAGTCATATTGATAGGTGTAGACTACCTTGTTGGGGACCGCGAGATGATGGCAGCCGATGGTTAGAGACTCTGAATGACATGGCTCAAAATCGTTTGCAATGGTGCAGGTGCATCCACTCTTTGTGTTCTCCCAAATTTTAATCTTCTGAATTCGTCATGTCCTTTATTTTCTTTCCAGATTTATTTCACTGTTTTATACTCTCTAAATAACATCTCCAAACACTAATGTTTCCGATTACTGCTTATACTCTTACTACCTGTACCACTACGGGATTTGAATCGACCACTGCATCTCTGTGCTAATGTGGTGTGGCAACTCGAACTGATGTACGTACGTACGAAGTTCTACGTTGTTACTGACTAACTGACTAATAGGAGGTTACATTGTACTCACATACACGATATCTGACTAAGGTTTTAGGGGCTGTTTAGAGAGATAATGTATTTACTTAAAGTACAAGGAGTCGGCTACAATTCAGTCGAAATAAAATTTTTGAGCGTATCACTAGTGAAATCAACAATAGGAAGTTGACAAGATTGTATCGTCTTACACATTTGGCGTAATTGAATATCTATCTTTGCTTATTTACTAATCAACCGGGAAATCATAACGTTATTACTCAAAGATAATTTAACGTAAGTAGTATTTGGAATTATTTCAAAAAATTAAACTTATCAGTAGAATACTCAACACTAAAATTAAGTGTGACTAGTTTGTTCGTTGTCTGTTTTCAAAATTACCGTCAACCGTTTAAGCATGCACGAAACAATAGGACTAGTCTAACTGACTACTGATTCTAAATATTGTTAATTCTACCACATACTTTTGTTTCTCTTCAGATGGAAGAATTTCAACGTACACAATACTTATATGAATCACTTGTTCGCGCTCAAGAAGAAGCGAAGCTGACTAAAATTCAAAAACATCCATGTTACTCAGAATTAAAACGAAACAGGGATTCATTAAGTCAAAAAGCCGTCATACAGTCTGAATTACTTGTCCCATATTTGTCTATTGCATCTGAGGTTGAAAAACAGAGTCAAAATAATCCTTTGTATGCTTTCCTATCTTCATCCGGTTGTAATGCGCCAGATGTAAGTCAATATGTTGTGATGATTATTATCAATATCTTGATAAATAGGATTTTTGTAAGTATGTGTTTATGGAAATGATATTTGTATTTTCTTGTGCTTCATCAAAAGAAACAGTATTGGATATCGTTTATTACTAATATCATTACCTTTTACTAGTTGATTTGAATAATATTCATAATTATGAAGCTAAATTTCATTTCCTACATGCAATTGTTATGTCAATAAAGTTCACTATCCTATGATCATTTCCACCTCAACATTTAATCTGATAATATGAACTGATGCCACTGAGTATGTTTATCACTTCACTTTTTCTGGTCTTTAACTAATCCCAATCTAACATCCTATATTTAGTCAGTCTATGAAGATTAAAGCAAAATCTTTTAAATAAAGGTTGACTAACTATTGACTTAAATTTTATACGTAGATGAAAACTTACTGACATGATTATTTGTCTCGCTAAATTACTGTTTATGAGCTTCTAATACCATCAGTTATACTTGTGTTCCTTATCGAGCTTAAGTGTATTATTTGACAGTCAAATCGTGCTCTATTTTACTATATTTAGTCCATTTTTGAAAATCTTGTTTTCTTTGTTATTTATTACTCACAGTAAATATCCAGAGGTGTGACAAATTGATACAAGTTCGTAGTGGTTAGTTCTGTCGCCAATCCATTTACTTAGTTATATTGGTCATATGTTGAATACGATGTTTAAATTACAGTAGTTGTTAACAGATCCTTATGTAATTTAAAGATATTTTCCAGTATTATTATTTACATTTGGTTGTACATTTTCTTAGTATCTGTTGAAATCTATTATATTCATTTGTAGTCTGTTGCATATCCTAAGAATTCATTGGCTGTTCAAACTTCGTTTCCCGAAAATATCGGCATTCAAACAGGTAAACAGATTCTTTCTGCGATAAAGTTAAGTTTTATCGATTTATTTTTCGCGCATAAGTCAGTAATTACCACCCAAGTAGTCTAGTTTATTAATTGCAGTTTAAGCGATCCCGCATAGTAGACTTGTAAGTTATGAACATAATTAGCCATTATGTATCAGTAATATTTTAAGTCTCTTGATATAAGCATTTAACAGCACTTTTTAATGCTTAACTTAATCCACACTCTCTGTTGTTTACAAATTTCGTACTGAAATCATACTATGTGGACCTAAGTAGACGTTGAGGGTTTTAGAGATCATATTATCTAACTAAATTTCTGAAGTAAATTTTGGCCAAATTTTAAAGTAGCATAGTGTCATATAAAGTTCTATAGGATATGATCAACTTCTGCTGTGTAGTGTTTGTTCTTTGATACTCAAATCAAGTGTTCTATTTTTTTTCGAAGTTTTCACACTGATTCAGAGATATAAGCCTGACTGCATATTTTATGTTGAAGTATTCTAAAAGTCCTACATGTTTGTTGTCATTCCTTTTAAGTCATCTGTTCATTTTAAAAAGATACTAGCGCCTCACAACAAGGAAAAAAATATATGTCGGGGCTTCTGGTTTTTGTTCTTAAAATGGTATCCTTTTGTATTGTTATATTTCATACGTAATTTTGGTTTTCAGAAAAAGTCCAAACTAATGTTAAAATATTTGCTTACTTCTGTTGGGATGATTGGTTTTTCTCATCATCTAACGATTAATTATTATTTGTCAGTTAAACAAACCACTTAGAAAATAGGACTTGATTATTCTTCCGTTTCTAATTTAAACTTTATTCACTTTAATGATCAACCCAACAGCTATGTAAATCCTAATATGCGTAGTTGTGTTCACATCTTCCGTACTTGTCTATGAACTCACTTGCTAGGTAGCGTGAACCAAGTTGACACTTTCTATATCTGTTTCTTTGGCTTATTCAATACACTTGTCTCCTGATAGTGTGTAGTTCGGAGATGTTTTAGGTATTAGTAATGTGTGGCAAAGTAATGCAGATACTATAACTTACTATCACATACTGATAAAAAAAGCATGACGTTTATTTATCATGCTTAACAAACAGTAAACACTATCCTTATCAGGAAAACCTTACCTTTATGTATACTTATATCATTAAGAATGTTTTCAAGTTATGTTGTAGACAGTATGCAAAATGAAATGTTCTCATTTCGAATCTATTTTAGAAAACTTCGAATGGACTAATTCGAAAGACAAACAAGTTTCGAATAATCCAGATTCGAAAAATCAAAATAATGGCACTCCTGCTCACAAACTAAAACCCAGTGACAACAAATCAGTAAAGAATAATCTGAGTAAAATGTCGGTATCTGTGTCAAATCAACAAAAACAACAGTGTGAGTGAATTTCAAATTCTTAACTAATTCTAATTACAAATAATGGGATCAAGTACTGATATAATGTTCTAATTTTGTGTTACTTTGGATACCATACACAATAAAGTCTATGGTTTCTAAGTGGATGAATTACTAGCGTATGATAGTTTTTTCTTTTTTACACTTTAGGATCACTATAGACTATCACGCCTTACTTTCACCACTGACACCTAATATATATTGTGTGAATTCACTCTTTCGAGTTAAATTTATTTTCTACAATTTTTCCAAATACATTAGAAATTCTAGTAGTTTATGCTGACGATGTTGTGTAGAAAGACAGTTAAAAGCTTCACGACTAAATCGGCCAGCTTAATTAATGCTGTCTCACTAAAATTATTTTCTCAAGCTACAAATCGTCACCACATCAAAGTGACTAATTGGTAATAAATTAAGATCAGAATACCAACTGTTATGTCGAGAAAAATAGATGCTTTAGGTTGTGTTGGGACCCATGTGGGCAGTAATGATAGGAACACAGTTGTATGATCTCGGTCCAATCCGGTTGTCGATTACTTCACTTGTGTTGGCTTATGGACCGGTAAATTTAGTGCCAGAGTGACACACCGATCAATGAATAACTACCAAGACTCCAATGCTTATCGACCCTTGAGCTCCTTCTAACCCCATTGACTAATCGAAAGATGAAGATAGAATTCAGATTAGTTCTTTATTGTACTCAACGCAAATACAACTCAGAACTCATACGCTAATATACCTGAAATGTCTAACCACAAAAAAATTACACCTACTTCGGTTTGGGCACCCGGGCAGTATCACAGCCCTCATACATATCGAATGAGATTTGTGTGGCGCATATGTATTTGGTGCCTCTTTGTACCATTATCTATGTGTTGAAATAAATAATAAATAAATAAAAAAATTACAATGCGTACATAACCTAGACATAGGTTATACAAAATTCGAGTAATAGGGGGAAAAGGCAACTGATGGTAAATCCGATATGATAAGATGCATGACAAGGAATAATGGATCAAACAAAAGGTTAAAAATTGGAGGGTGTAAAAATACAACAGTCGAAGGGTCCACTAATTATATGATAAAAATATAAATAATAACCCTTCGTATCAAAGTCTGGAAAGGTATACTTCAGCACTATTCATCCCATTATATCACCAACTTCATAAATTATCCGAGGTAATGGCAAATTAATAAAACACGACCAGTAATTACACTACAACCGTTTGTGATGAATCCACTTGGTAACAAGAGGAAGACTGGTCTTTCGAATGAAATCTTATGTATCAATACACATAATCCTAGTAATATTTTATTCATTCTTTGTAATGTTTAGTAATTATTTCATCATTTTATTTTTTTAACAATGTATTTAAATAATTATATTATAATGTTGTATTCCTTTTTCTCTCAATGATAAAATGCAGATCGACCAAATCGATTAACCTCAAATTATAAACCTACAAATAATAATAATTTAGTTAATAATAAAACAAAAGTATCACAACTACTAAAAGGTAAACGAGTTTCAAAATCTCAATCATTTAATTCTGATTCATATAATAATAATAATAATGATAATGACTTTTCTAAATCAGCCAATGAACAATCAAAATTATCAAGCAGTAATAGCGCACAAACAATTAATTCATTTACCGGTACGAATAAGTTCGAAAGGTATAGTTTTTTGTTTTTGTTATTACTGTTCATATTATTACGTACTAATTACTTAAGAATGTTTCAATTTTACTTCTGGTAAGCCTTATACAGAATAACTCGTCCGTGATGAGAATCGATAAATCATAGATATACACTTAGTAATAATAACGTGTAATACCAAGAAACCATCCATTGTATTATTGAAGAAGAATAAAGGCATTTCAGCGTAGACATTATTTTCGACGATTTCATTTATTAAAGCTTCACAGTCGTATATACAGCTAATTTACCCACTAAAAATAGTAGTCTATAGTAAAATAGAAGGATGTGTAATTTTGATAATTTGAATTGATATCGTGTCATAATTTTTTAAATGAAAATCTAATATTAAAAGAAAGTTATTAGGTTATGTTATTATCAATCGTTCATAGAATATCTTCACCTCAACATATTTGACCAGCCTTTGAATTATTACATTATTGTCGGTCGTTTTTAACGATTTCTGGACATCCTAAAAAAGTGATGTAGGTGTTATAATCTCAGATTTAAATACCGTTCCACCTACTTTAGTTTGGGCAGACGCTTAGTATCGTTAGTTTTCAAACAAATGTAAAGTTAAGTCAGTACATAAACTTCTTTTCAGTAATTGAGTAGTTACCATCATGATGATGTCGTTCAGAAGAACGATGAAAGCTCCACGACCAAACCATCCAGCTCAGAGAACAAAACTCCACCAAAATCATCCACCTGAGCTACAAATCCTCTCCACCATCTCAAGATTCATATTTGTTTAAATAAAACTGGGGTTCTGTAAAAGAAAAAAAACTTTGTCCTCGAACATCAAACAACTGATTGACTTCTTTTTTATTCTACTAATGTAAAAAGTATTCAGAAGATTATACTCTAAGTAACGAGAGTAAATCATTGTGTCATTAAAGAAAAAAAGGCAATTCAGCGAAGAAAATTTTCTTTGCGACTAAATCGTTTACTTAAGCTTCACAATTGTATTTGTAGTGATTTAGTGAATGTATGAACCTATGAAATTCTAAAAAGAAATTACATCATAACGTGTCCTGAGATTTCGAGTATCAGAAAATAAAGAATTTTAACAACTCAAAATAACTATTGTAACATGCTATTGTCAATATCAATACAAAGTTAGTAACTAAACTATTTCACAACTTCTTGATCTCGTAAGAAATAAAGGCTCAATCCTGAGTCGTCTAGATAAAGCTTCTGGCATTACGTTCATAAATCTCCATAATTACATCATAAAACTGCCCTCGAAACTATCAGATATCGACTAGTATTTTAAAGAAATTCCTCGAAAAGATGCAACAAAATAATTGGCGTATACCTCAATCTGGTTTCTATGAAAATTGACCTGTCCCCTTTACTCATAAAGAGGACTTGTTCATTTTTCCATATCCTTCTTATCTGATCGATTTCTGTTCTGTTGTTAATGTGACGGCCTGGATGGCTATGCTATTTTTTTTAATTATAATCAATAATAAATCAACATAAAGTGTTCATTATTCAAATATTTTTCGTTAACAGTAGATCTGTCCAAGATGGAAGTAGTATGAAATCACGTATTCCCATACCGAGTGAGCTACATGAATACTTTTCTTTTTTTGTTAAGAATTAATAACTATTTATATTTAATATCTACTCTTTACATAATATAGAGTAGTAGCTTAGCAGCTAGAGTGTTTAACTTTCAACCATTAAATCATAATCTTGGGTTTCGTTTTATCTACTGGTTCTGGTGAACGGATAAAATCTTCAGCTTTCAAAAACGGACAGACCAAAGTCGAGTACATAAATGTGTACTTGTTTATCAAGTTGAGTTATATTTATTACATTTTCGTTCCAATAATGTGATAGCTTGGACCAGTACCATGGCCAACGTGGTTTATGATTGATAAATGATGGAAAGATTTATTTCTCTGGTTCCCACTACTTATTACCCAACTAAGTGGAGCTAACATTTCGCACATTGTTTATTTTATTTTAGTAAACCCTCCGAGTAATCCACTCATCAATAGAATTTAAATAAAATTATTCGCATGCCTAATATACTGTTAAATTGATTTTTTATCTTTTTCTATCAACAACTTCGTGTGTTCCAGATTTCAGTTCACTTGAATAAGAGCTTTAGCTTTCTTATCATATATTGTTTAGCCAATTAAAGCACTGCCATTAGGATTGAGCTCATTTGGTTACGGGAATTACAGGTTTCCTAGTTTTGTTTAAAATTAACTAACATATAGTGTATACTTCTGGGTCCAAATTCGAGGTTAAACAAGATGCTAAAAATTCTTAAGTGCGCTAAATTGTATTTATATTTATTGTGTACAACTTTTTTTGTTTCTGAAAATGGCATCGTCAATGTTCTCCAAAATAAACTAGAAATATTGTATCCTCATTCTCTCTGCTACGTTCTTAACTCATCAATAGATTCGCACTCAATCTGTTTATAGAGTCCGATGCTATGTCAACTATGGATCATAAGACAGTTCAATACGAAGGTTTATTCAGTTTGTTCCCCAAGGTTTCTCCATGTTCGTCTGTAGAAACTGATTCTCGGAATGCATATGATTCACCATGAAAATTCACATATCCCACTGCAGGTATTAACCGTTACATTTTATTCTGTAATGGAATGCGCAGATTTGATGTATCATATCATCATACATAGGCTCCATAGAGAGATTGAACAATACTCTCACGATTGAATGTTGACAGCTGTCACTTTTTTTTAATAAAGTCAGCTTTTATGTACTAATTACTCTTTTTTAAAATATAGTGTCTTGTATTTCTTTTTCAATAAAATAAATTTGTAAATCGTTTCAAGTATCTACAGCCTACAGTATATCGTCAACTTCAATGCCAAAACATCAAGTTTCAACTATCAACACTGAGTCTCTAAATAATACTACATTTCTTAATCATGAAAATCCTTATGGGCCTGCGGATCTTATTCGTACTTATGATGTATTGATTCCGAATGATGCAAATATAATATTGCCTGTCAGTCATGAACCTGGTGTTGTTGAGAATACTAGGAAATCAGAAGTCAAAGTAAAGTCGCTCTTAATTTTATATATATATATATATATATATATATATATATATATATATATATATATATATATGTCTGACTATAATATAGTTTTAGGCCGACCTTCATTTCTGTGAGGTTTTGCCTCAGTCTAACAAACTAGTGTGATTAATGTGAAATTATGTATATACTTATTTCGTCAATTGAACTCCTTGTTTCATGTTGAATTCATATTACAATCATGATAATTTTAGTGTTACAAGTTTAAGTGTTATTACTCATACTATTAAAAAATTTAATATATTTATTCTGTAGTTTAAATTTACACAATATGACATAACATATTAATTAATCTTTTCCTAAGGAAGATTGAGAACATGTTATATTCAAGTTATTTGCATACAGCATATTCATGTAACTTACTCGGTATCTTAAAATTGTTTATTTTTATCTGTTTCATTTAAATATAGGATATACATCATAAGCAAATACTGTGCTCTCTAACCAATCTTTTTAACCTCTCAACTCAACAATATATGTATATCTATACCTGTTTATTTGAGCTTCTCAGTAAACTCTTAGACTAATAGACATAAGGAGTGTTAGTTGGGCTTTCTTAGCACTTGACACGTCCACGTGATTAATAACTATTTTCATTACATAAACTTTCTTTAATATCTGACTGTTAAGTATATTTCTTGCCCATCATATCGATAACACATAAAAATACCCTAACACAGACATTATACTAGATAATTATTACTCATGTATAATAAAGTCTGCTCCATTTACTTTAAGGATCCTTTTTCATAAACCAGCAAACATAATTCTTTTTTACTCATTCAACTTTCCATTCCTGGTTATTACTAAATTTAACGAGTGAAAAAGATTTTAATTTAAATGCCACCAAAATTGTTTTGATAGTGAAGTTAGGCTTATGACATAATTATCGGTAGTTTAAAATATGTTTGTCTAAATAAATCTTATATTTCTTATCTGTCCTGTTAGAACTTAATCGCGTCTTAGTTTAAGTCTACTTAAAGTGAATTGTTCCTAGATGATAAACCGGTGTATGATCAGTTAAAAAATAACGAAATAATTCTTTGTGATAATTGCCCTGACAGATTTCAAGTTCCATATTATCAGCTTAATATAAATAAACAAATGTCGAAAGTAGTCAGAAGACTGTTCTGACTACTCATTATACATATATGCCTGGCGAGACGGCGTTGAGCGTAGCAGTCATCGTCGACAGGGAGATGATGTGGGATGCTCCAGATGCTGGGCGCAAATCGGATATAAATGGCTCAGTGGGTCTCTGGAGAGCAGGTGTTTGACGTCCAGGGTGCTGCGTAGACATCGGATTTAGATGGACGGCAGGTCGACAGAGCTGCTGGTTCTGCTCATCGGTGGACTCAACATTTCAACGGAGTAGCGTAGCACAGACTAACACAGAAAGAAAGAATAATTACAGGAGTGACCGTTTAAATAGGGGACGAGTGTAACGTATACTACTTATGCTTACATATATGAGTAGTGTGTAGCAGCAGTCGGAAGTGGAATACCTGCCAGTAGAAGACTGAAAAGATTGAATTGGAGAGAACAGAAGGCGAAACAAAGAGCAATTATACTAACAATAGAATTGTAAGAATCATGTAGTATATAAAGGGCAACTGAAGGAAGATGTGCTATAATGTATTTAGTGTATGGTTTTCATATTCTAACAAATCCACCGGACATCGTAGCAGCACATACATACTCTCTTATAGATCTCACTCCAACAACGATCAAAGAAATCAGGATGGCTATCAGATAAACCAAGTGTGGGAAAGCAGTAGGGCATGACAGTATACCAGCTGAAGCACTAAACTCCGACATAGAAGCAGCTGCAAACATTCTCCACGTTCTATTCAGGAAGATTTGGGGGGGGGAGAACAAGTGCCGACAGACTGGAAAGAAGGATATCTCATCAAGACACCAAAGAAAGTAAATCTGAGCAGGTATGAGAACCACAGACGCATCACACTACTATCTGTGCTAGGAAAATTTTTCAACAGAGTTTTGCTTAACCAGATGAAAGATTCGGTAAACGACCAGTTTCGAGATCGACATATCGGATTCCGCAAGGATCGGTCGTGCACAGACCAAACTGTGACACTACGGATCATCGTTGAACAATCAATTGAATGGAACTCGTCACTATACATCAACTTATGGGAAAGTATTTAATAGTGTAGATAGAACATTATAGGAAGTTCTTCGACAATATGCAGTGAGTAACTGTGAAAATCGTCAACATTATCCGGAGTTCATACGACGGACTACAGTGCAAAGTCGTGCATGAAGAACAGCTGACAGACACATTCCAAGTGTAGACCGGAGTCAGACAAGGCTGCCTACTCTCCCCATTTCTCTTTCTTTTGGTGGTTGACTGGATTAGGAGGACCTAGATATCTGAGAGGAAGCACGGAGTGCAATGAACAGGTTAGATGCAACTAGACCATTTGGGCCTGATAGATGATTGGTCAATAGTATTACATCTCACAGTATTGTTTAATAAACATAAGCATCTTACAATTTCCCTGTGATGTGAGAGTTTGTTTATAATCGAGGAATAACTAATCAAAATAAGTCCCTGTAAAATATATTCAATGTGAATTATTAATTTGGATTATTATCTATCTCACTTCAGGATTCGCTTCGAAATTCGAATACAAAACATGAGCGTTCAATTACCCGACAAGATACTATTTTACAACAGTTATCAGAAATTCGTAAGGTAGGGTATTCATCCTATTGAAATGTTTTATTTTATATATCTTTATTCAAATGATGAGAATTTTCTTTATTGTTTGTATTGGTTTGTATTTTCCTGTTATTTATATTCAAAATTGAATTTGGTCAGTTTTTGTTGTAGTATGAGTTCATTGTCGAAATGTTTCAATATTGTGCGTAGTTAGAGGTCCTATTTTTAGACAGTGATTACCAGTGGGATCTGAGATTCATTTCCTCCTGTTTACAAATCATATCTACATCCCAGTTCTCTTCACTTCACAAACTAGCATTCTATTCACAAGGCTACTGAATGTTGATATTCGGTAGCTACAGTGCAAAAGATGCCATACATATATAATAGACATTAGGTACAAATTGTCTAATTAGTTGCATACGTTATCTCGGAAATTTGAATGAACTGATGATGTATAATACTTATAAAAAACATTTACAATATCTTAATGAGTAGGAACTTGAATTAATCTTATAATTATATTGTTATTTTGTTACTACTGAAAACATATCTTGTGTTCAATTTATTTGAAGTTATCAAATTCAACCTTGGTTGTTCTGCATAAAAAAGAGGATTTCACTTTCCCGTTATTGATTATGTTTATGATATGTTATATCATGTTAAAAGTTCAGATATTGAACTTAGTATCGTAGGTCTAGATATTACATCACGTTACAATAATCAGTTTTTTTGCGTAATTTAATAACACAAATCGACTGTATAGTGAAATACACTTAGGTTTGATTGTTTTTAACGGAGACGCCTAATTTCTTATCCTCTTCTGGTGCCCGACTAATCCAAAGATTGGACTTCATTCAGAAAATTCCCTGTATAGTTTAAGGTTGATTAAATCAAGCCATCAGGTGCTGTGCATGAATAAATTTATAGTCCCTTATGACAGTATGGAAGATAGTTATTAGTTAGCAGTGGGTTCTTTCTGGCAAAATGGTTGTCATAAGAAATTTTGGTGAACAGAAGCGCAAATATACATTTACAGAAACGTTGTAACAAAATAGTAGTTTCTAGAAGTCATTTGTCAGAATTTAAACATTCTCAGTAATTAAACATCCCTCAACTTTGAACGACAACTAAACTGTCTAAGATAATATGTGAAAAACTATCTCATACTTTTATTTTCATCGAATAAATAAACATTACTTTTACAGATATACCTAACTGATTTAATTAATACTATGTATAAATAAATGAGTATATTTTAAATTTTCCCCTCATTTCTTTCAGGGTTTACAATTACGTCAAATGTTGTGTGAATCAAGCACTTATGAAGATGATATTAATTATTAAATGGAAGATACAATACATGTGTTTTATTTGTACGGTGAATTCTACACGACAAAAGAAATACAACATATCATTTTACTAATCACTTTTCTATATTTCTATTTATGTATTATGTAGATTTTCTGTGATGACTTGTATCATTATTTTTTTTTGGTAATTTTTTCTCATGAGGAGCACAGTGGCAGAAATAATTCTGTCATCAACATATCAGTATGATTAATGCCATTGACATTTAATTCTTCTATAGAGTTGTTCATTCATTTTCATATATTACTTTCTTCTAGTGTAAATTGTCATTTTTGAAACAGTCGACTGGTACTTGCATTTATCAACTTATCACTGTTAGTTGTTTCAGCATTGAAAGTATTACTATCCGCGGTATACAGGACGTCAGGATTATTACTAATACCAAAATATTCTTTCATTTAGTTTTTTTCCGCTTTTGTTTAAATAATGTAGTTTGATTCCATGCATTTCATTTTTAGGATTTTGAACGGTGTTATATATTTTGAAAATATATGTAATAAATTTATTGACAAGAATATTTTCTCAATTTTATCGTCTGTGTATACTCATGCTCTGAATTTTTTTTATTTATTTACGATTAATTACCAAAGGTTTATAACTGTCGATAATCTGATTATGCAACCAGTCGTACTGACAAAGTTGCTATGTCAGTGACAAATTATTTGCTAGGTGATTAGTTTTAATTAATCTGCTTGTTTGCAATGTCAGATAGATAAAATATTTAACTATCATGCGGTTTATAGTTTACAGTTTGAGGTTGTATCGATTTAGTTGGGTGTCTTTTGTGTCTGTTTTCTTATATAAGTTGAATCTATTAGTTTGGAGAGAAAATGTAAGGGAGTTTAGATTCAGATATAATTCTCTGACAACTTGTTACTTTTATTTTTTTAAAAAGTTAACAGACTAACGAAGAGAAAACCCAACTGACTTCATTCATAATTTAACGTATTTCATTTAGCGTTTGGCGTATTTAACAGATATTTAAGAAACTGTCATTAGTCAGACAATTTCATTGATCTAACATGCGTATGCGGTATCCTACTTCAGTGTATATGAACTAAATATATCTGAACAATTGCTTATTTAACATCAACTTCTTTATATGTTCTCATTAATTCTTGTTTGTCGTGCATAATATTTATTAATTAAATTAACAGTTATAACAATCTAATTATTAATATTACGAAATCACCAACCTGATGTGACTTCACACATTTATCTTCGAGCCACACTTTAAGTGTGGGGCTAGCGATAATATCCGATTATCTAAACCGAGGTAGGTGGAGTGGTATTTGAACATGCAAATTACTATCTGAAAGTCGAACACCTTAACCAGCGAGTCATTACTCCACACTTCTTTCTTTTTCGAACAAATTTTTACATGTCTGTCGTTTTGTACGAACTTATTTAAGTGTTTCGCTTTTGATTAGGTATTGATCATTACTAGACGATGACTTTTGGTTTATTTGCTGTGATTTTTCTTTAATATTCATTTTCCGTAGCTTCTTTTCCGTAATTACCTTTTTAGATCATATCTCTTGTTATGAATTAGGATACTGTATTGTTTTCCATACTAATAATAAATTGGATGGTGTATATTCATCGAATTTCGATATACAGATCTAACTACTTCATGAAGGTTAGTACATCAGTTAAATTGTTCGTATTTTAAGATACGTGTTAAAAACTCGTTAAAAAAAAATATATATATATACAACTTTGTTAGTAGGTTAAGATGATATGTATTAACCATTATTCTACTTATTAAACTATATTATTTGTTGTTGTACATCTCTTTAAGTTTTATTATTAAGCTAACTGATTGAAATAGACCAAGATTTTGGTCTTTATATCAATAAGAAATTCACCACTTACCGGGGTACAAATACACTCAACTAACAGCATATTTTTTGACAAAAGGCTGCTTCTTAGTCTCCATTTTTATTAGTACTTAATATTATAACGTTATTCAATGTATGAGTGTGTTAAAATGTTCATTTAGAAACTGGTTCGCTTTTTGTAAATATTTATTTTGCTTTCTCTATTGTTTAATCATACTAATTTGGTTAGTCGTAGAGTTCGCGAGAGTAAAATGGTAATTTACTATCAGAAATCAACAATTATCACGCAGTCTTAAAAGCTGATTGAAACTGAAAATCTCAGTGATGTAAAACTATCGTACTTGGAGTGAGACCCGATGTTAAAATCATTCACTGACGATGAGTTACAAATTACAATGAAATATTTATCCATTGCTCTTTAGTTTTCAGTGTGTCTCTGACTGATATCATGTTTTGAAAAATGTTGTTTTGAACTCTACAATAAAATTTCGCACGACTTTTCTTAATAGTTATATTATTATTACGCTTTTTAGTAATTACTAAATTTATTAGCTCGTAAATCCCTTAAAAATCATATTGACCCCATGCCTATTGCTATTGATCTTTTATTGTAGACTTCTGATTATTTCCTCAAACGTTCTTAGATGAGATTGTTAGGCCATAGTTACTGTCATAATACAGTATATGTGTTACCACATGAATTTTTTCTTACTTTAAAAAAGACAAATTGTTTAAAAAATAAACTAGGTAGTTATTTTAATCAAATGGAAATCCTTAAAATACTCGTAATCTAAATTTAAAATAAAGTAGTTATTCTTATCATTTGTTACTATTGAACTCTTGTTGGAGTTATTCTTTAACTACAAATATGCGTGTTTACTTGATGCACTGAATATTGGACTAACGTTATATCACTACTTATTCAGTTAATTGCATTTTAATTCAAGGGAACTCAAAAGAAATTTCAAAAATAAGTAAAAGGCATAATGCTACTTCATTTTTACGTAATTTATCGTTGTATGTATATCGGTGGATGTATTGACCTGGTGATATTAGTCTTTGTACCTCGTGATATTTATTCCAAAGTTCTTTTCAGTTAAGCTATTGTTTTAAATAAGTATATGTTATAACTACTAACTAAAATATTCTTCTTACAACTCATCTATTTTGTATTTAGTTTATACAAAGTCAAGTGAGAGAAATTAACGCATTCTTGTCGCGTCATTTGCGAGTTTACAGTTTATTCTCATGTGTTATATGGTTATTACTTATCGGTGCATTCTTGCGCACAACTTGGAATCTATCCTATATAATTTGGAATCAATCAAGTTATGATAATAATGCGAATTTAAACAATTATGATAAGCGTTGGAAACCAACTATTCATACTGTTTCACGGCTAACTGATGCAATGCTTAATTTATGGCCTGTGTATATTGCGAAAGGTATTTTGCCACCAAGTGATATAACTTTGGTAAGTTATTCTAATTTTCACAATGGGAATCTTTAATATTTTAAAATAGCGTGAGGACTCTGTTGCATTTAAGACACTCAATGAGTTTCTGAAGTTTACTTCACGTCTCAAAGAAGCGAAAATGAGCTTAGAATTTGCTATTAATTGTATACAATCTTATAGATATCCTAAAATATATTGGAAGTCTTGACGTCTTAACAGAATCTATCCTAATGCAAAAACACTTGAAAGACATGCATCGAATCAAATTGATACTTTAAAAATAAATATCTGCGACAATATTCCGTTAAAAACCTGTCTTCAGAGCTTCAGTCAATGATTATGGGTTATGTGGAAATAATTTCCAAAATAGATCTGGGAAAACGTTGACGAAACTAATAAAAACTTTGGAAAACCAAAAGCCAGAAAAGGAGTTTTCTTTCGACCCGGAACGGTACGTACATAATTTTTCCAATATTGAACTAGATGTAATTGTTGTGTCGGCTTTCTGAGAACTGCAGTGGAGCCTCTAGAGGCCCTAAAGGAGCAGAAGAGTCCTAGCCAATCAGAGCATGATGGAGTTTTCTAGAATATCAACGTTGCGTGCTACTATTGGTCAGTAGCATAATATGTCTTTTAGCGGATTGATCAAGATATGGTGTTGATTTAGCCAATGTTAACATCTATAAATACCCGTGTTTTTCTGTACAAAAATGAACCTTTGGATTTTTTTACTTACTTGCTCCTGTTACTCCTCGTAAAGGAGCATAGAGCGCTCACCAACATTCTCTGTTCAACCCTGTCCTGGGCAATCCTTCCCAGCTCCTTCCAGTTGTTATTCATCCTTTTCATGCCTGCTTCTATTTCCCGACGTAATGTGTTCTTTGACCTTCCTCTTTTCCGCTTCCCTTCAGGATTCAAAGTTAGGGCTTGCCTCGTGATGCAGTTTGACGATTTGCGTAATGTATATCCTATCCATTTCCATCGTCTTTTCCTAATTTCCTCTTGAGCTGGAAGTTGGCTTGTTCTCTCCCACAGAAGGCTATTGCTGATGATATCCGGCCAATAAATGTTGAGTATCTTGCGTAGACAGCTATTTATAAATGCTTGCACCTTCTTGATGATGGTTGTTGTAGTTCTCCAAGTTTCAGCTCCGTACAGTGGAACTGACTGCCTTGAGATTCGTATTGAAGATTCTCACTTTGATATTGGTTGAAAGTTGTTTTGAGTTCCATATGTTCTTCAATTGTAGGAATGCGGCCCTTGCTTTGCCAATCCTTGACTTTATGTCTGCATCTGAACCTCCTTGTTCATCGATGATGCTTCCCAGGTATGTGAAGGATTCTACATCTTCCAGAGTTTCGCCATCAAGAGTGATTGGATTGCTGTTCCTCGTTTTGAACTTGAGGACCCTGGTTTTCCCCTTGTGTATGTTGAGGCCTACTGATGCTGTGACTGCTGTTACACTGGCTGTCTTTTTCTGCATTTATTCATGTGTATGGGATAGGAATTCTAGGTCATCTACGAAGTCCAAATCGTCTAATTGGTTCTGAGCTGTCCATTGTATGCCGTGTTTTCCCTCATTTGTCGAGGTCTTCATAATCCAGTGGACCACCAGAAGAAAGAGGAAGAGAGAGAGTAAACAGCCTTGTCTGACTCCGGTCCTTACTTGGAATGCGTATGTCAGCAGTCCTCCATGCACGACCTTGCACTGTAGTCCGGTTAATATTGACAATTTTTTCAGGAACTCCGTAGTGTCGAAGAAGTTTCCATAACGTCCTCCCATCTACACTGTCAAACGCCTTTCATAAGCAATGAAGTTGATGTACAGTGACGAGTTCCACTCAATTGATTGTTCGACGATTATCCGTAGTGTTGCAATTTGGTCTGTGCATGACCGATCCTTACGGAATCCCGCTTGTTGATCTCGAAGTTTGGCGTCTACTGCGTGTTTCATCCAGTTCAGCAACACTCTGTTAAAGACTTTCCCTGGTATTGACAGTAGCGTGATGCCTCTGTAGTTTTCACATTTGTTCAGACCTCCTTTCTTTGTAATCTTGATGAGGTGTTCTTATTTGTAGTCCATCGGCACTTGTTCCTCCTCCCAAATCTTTTTGAATAGAAGGTGAAGTATGTTTGTAGTTATTTCGATGTCTGACTTCAGTGCTTCAGCTGGTATATTGTCGGGTCCTTCTGCTTCCCAGCTCTTGAACCTTTGGAGTAAAGTGCTTTTCGCTTATTTCGCGCCTTTGCTCTCGAGTTCAGGTCGCTGCGTAGTTCTAGCATGCGGGCAACCAGAATGGCTTAGGAACCGAATAAAGCGTTCAAATTAACAAGACGTATCAGTAATACAGCTAGAAGCTTTATCTCTGGGGCCTGGATTATGTGATAGTAGGCATAGAATCAACCAATTAGATACTGATGTACAATTTGAGAATTTATTTTCACAAACAACTGACTTGATTCCTACTTCATCGGAGGATCTTGCTCGGTTTAAGACCACATTAGTTGATAGCTGCCAACAGTACAAGAATAGTAAGGGTACCACAAATCACCTACCAACCAAGCAGCACCGAGACTATTCAACGAAATTAAGAAAAGATAAAACCGTGATCATAAGCAAATCAGATAAAGAAGGAGGTATAGTTCTCATGATTAAAAAGGATTACATGAAAAAAATGGAAACAATGCTTAGTGATCCTAGCAGATTTAATAAAGTTATGACATCAATAATATAATAGAAAAACAATTGGCTAAATTACCTTAAGGATCTAAAGAAAAAGGGAAGAATTACGATTGAGATTCATGTTTCAATTAAGCCGACTGGATCATATACACCACGACTGTACGGTTTGCCTAAAGTTCATAAACCGGGTCTTCCTGTACGCCCAGTTCTAGATATGTACAATTCTCCTTAGCACAAAATTGCAAAGTGGTTAGTGCGAATCTCAGAGCATTTACACAAAT